AGCCAAATTGAGCAAGCAGAAGAAACAGTATCAGAGGTTGAAGATCAACTCAATGAAATAAAATGAGAAAGCAAGATTAGAGAAAAAAGGGTAAAAAGGAATGAATAAAGTCTCCAAGAATTATGGGACTATGTGAAAAGACCTAATCTACGTTTGATAGGTGTACCTGAATGTGATGGAGAGAATTAATCCAAGCTGGAAAATACTGTCCAGGATACTATGCAGAAAAACTTCCCAAACCTAGCAAGGGAGACCAATATTCAAGCCCAGGAAATACAGAGAACACCACAAAGATATTTCTCAAGAAGTGCAACCCCAAGGCACATAATCCTTGGATTCACCAGGGTTGAAATGAAGGAGAAAATGCTAAGGGCAGCCAGAGAGAAAGGTCGGGTTATCCACAAAGGGAAGCCTATGAGACTCACCGCAGATCTCTCAGCAGAAACCCTACAAGCCAGAAGAGAGAGGGGGCCAATATTCAACATCCTTAAAGAAAAGGACTTTCAACCCAGAATTTCATATCCAGCCAAACTAAGCTTCATAAGCTAAGGAGAAATAAAATCCTTTACAAACAAGCAATTACTCAGAGATTTCATCACCACCAGGCCTGCTTTACAAGAGCCCCTGAAAGAGGCACTACACATAGAAGCAAACAACCAGTACCAGCCACTCCAAAAACATACCAAATGGTAAAGAGCATTGACACAATGAAGAAACTGCATCAACTAACAGGAAAAACAGCCAGCTAGCATCAAAATGGCAGTATCAAATTCACACATAACAATATTAACCCTAAATGTAAATGGGCTAAATGCCCCCATCAAAAGACACAGACTGGAAAATTGGATAAAAAGCCAAAACCCATCAGTGTGCTGTATCCAGAAAACCCATCTCACATGCAAGGATACACAAGGGCTCAAAATAAAGGGATGGAGGAAGATTTACCAAGCAAATAGAGAGCAAAAAAACAGCAGGAGTTGCAATTCTCATCTCTGATAAAATAGACTTTAAACCAACAAAGATCAAAAGAGACAAAGAATGACATTACATAATGGTAAAAGGATCAATGCAACAAGAAGAGCTAATGATCCTAAATATATATGCACCCAATACAGGAGCACCCAGATACATAAAGCAAGTTCTTAACGACTTACAAAGAGACTTAGACTCCCACACAATAATAATGGGAGACTTTAACACCCCATTGTCAATATTAAACAGATCAACCAAACAGAAAATTAACAAGGATATCCAGGACTTGAACTCAGACCTGGACCAAGCAAACCTAATAGACATTTACAGAACTCTCCACCCCAGATCCGTAGAACATACATTCTTCTCAGTACCACATCATACCTACTCTAAAACTGACCACATAATGGGAAGTAAATCACTCCTCAGCAAATGCAAAAGAATGGAAATCATAACAAACAGTCTTTCAGACCACAGTGCAATCAAGTTAGAACTAAGAATTCAGAAACTAACTCAGAACTGCATACCCTCATGAAAACTGAACAACTGGCTCTTGAATGTTGACTGGATAAACAATGAAATGAAGGCAGAAATAAAGCTGTTCTTCAAAACCAACAAGAACGAAGACACAACATACCAGAATCTCTGGGTCACATTTAAAGCAGTCTCTAGAGGAAAATATATAGCAATAAATGCCCACATGAGAAATAAGGAAAGATCTAAAATTGACACCCTATCATCAAAATTGAAAGAGCTAGACGAGCAAGATCAAAAAAACTCAAAACCTAGCAGAAGACAAGAAATAACTAAGATCAGAGCAGAACTGAAGGAGATAGAGACATGAAAAACCCTTCAAAAAATCAATAAATCCAGGAGCTGGTTTTCTGAAAAGGTCAACAAAATAGCCAGATTGCTAGCCAGATTAATAAAAAAGAAAAGAGAGAATAATCAAATGGATGCAATAAAAAACGATAAAGGGGATATCACCACAGATTCCACAGAAATACAAATCATCATCAGAGATTATTACAAATAACTCTATGCACATAAACCAGTAAACCTGGAAGAAATTGATAAATTCCTGGACACTTGCATCCTCCTAAGCCTAAACCAGGAAGAAGTCGAAACCCTGAATAGACCAATAACAAGGGCAGAGGTTGAGGCAGCAATTAACAGCCTACCACCCAAAAAAAGCCCAGGTCCCGATGGGTTCACAGCCGAATTCTACCAGACATACAAAGAGGAGCTGGCACCACTTCTTCTGAAAGTATTCCAAACATCCAAAAAGAGGGAATCCTCCCCAAATCATTTTATGAGACCAACATCATCCTGATACCAAAACCCGACAGAGATTCAGCAAGAAAAGAAAACTTCAGACCAATATAGATGATGAACACAGATGCAAAAATCTTCAATAAAATACTGGCAAACTGATTGCAATAGCACATCAAAAAGCTTATCCACCATGATCAAGTAGGCTTCATCCCAGGGATGCAAGGCTGGTTCAACATATGCAAGTCTATAAACATAATTCACCACATAAACAGAACCAAAGACAAAAACCACATGATTACCCTCAATAAACTAGGTATTGATGGAACATACCTCAAAATAATAAATGCTATTTGTGAAAAACCAACAGCCAATATCATACTGAATGGGCAAAAACTGGAAGCCTTCCCTTTGAAATCTGGCACTAGACAAGGATGACCTTCTCTTACCACTCCTATTCATTATAGTATTGGAAGTTCTAGCCAGAGCAATTAGGCAAGAAAAAAAAATAAAGGGTATTCAATTAGGAAAGGAGGAAGTCAAATTGTCTCTATTTGCAGACAACATGATTGTATATTTAGAAGACCCCATTGTCTCAGCCCAAAATCTCCTGAAACTAATAAGCAACTTCAGCAAAGTCTCAGGATACAAAATCAATGTGCAGAAATCACAAGCATTCCTATACACCAATAACAGACTTAAAGAGAGCCAAATCAAGAACGAACTGCCATTCACAATTGCTACAAAGAGAATAAAATACCTAGGAATACAAATAACAAAGAACGTAAAGGACCTCTTCAAGGAGAACTATAAACCACTGCTCAACAAAATAAGAGAGGACACAAATAGATGGAGAAACATTCCATGCTCATGGTTAGGAAGAATCAATATCGTGAAAATGGCCATACTGCCTAAAGTTATTTACAGATTCAATGCTATCTCCATCAAGCTACCAATGACCTTCTTCACAGAACTGGAAAAAACCACCTTAAACTTCATATGGAACCAAAAGAGAGCCCACATAGCCAAGTCAATTCTAAGCAAAAAGAACAATGTGGGAAGCATCACACTACTGGGCTTCAAACTATACTACAAGGCTACAGTAATCAAAAGAGCATGGTACTGATACCAAAACAGGGATATAGACCAATGGAACAGAACAGAGGCCTCAGAGGCAACACCATGCATCTACAACCAACTGATCTTTGACAAACCTAACAAAAACAAGCAATGGGGAAAAGATTCTCTGTTTAATAAATGGTGTTGGGAAAACTGGCTAGCCATGTGCAGAAAGCAGAAACTGGACCCCTTCCTGATAACTTACACTAAAATTAACTCCAGATGGATTAAAGACTTAAACATAAGACCTAACATGATAAAAACTCTAGAAGAAAACCTAGGCAAAACCATTCAGGACATAGGCATAGGCAAAGACTTCACGACCAAAACACCAAAAGCATTGTCAACAAAAGCCAAAATAGACAAATGGGACCTAATCAAACTCCACAGCTTCTGCACGGCAAAACAAACAGTCATTAGAGTGAACCAGCAACCAACAGAATGGGAAAAAATTTTTGCAATCTACCCATCTGTCAAAGGGCTGATATCCAGAATCTACAAAGAACTAAAACAGATTTACAAGAAAAAAAATGAAAAGGCCCATTCAAAAGTGGGTGAAGGATATGAACAGATACTTTACAAAAGAAGACGCACATGAGGCCAACAAACATATGAAAAAATGCTCATCGTCACTGGTCATTAGAGAAATGCAAAACAAAACTACATTGAGATACCATCTCATGCCAGTTAGAATGGCAGTCATGAAAAAATCTGAAGACAACAGATGCTGGAGAGGATGTGGAGAAATAGGAACATTTTTACACTGTTGGTGGGAGTGTAAATTAGTTCAACAATTGTGAAAGACAGTATGGCAATTCCTCAAGGACCTAGAAATAGAAATTCCATTTGACCCAGCAATCCCATTACTGGCTATATATCCAAAGGATTATAAATCATTCTACTGTAAGGACACAGGCACACGAATGTTCACTGCAGCACTGTTTACAATAGCAAAGACCTGGAACCAACCCAAATGCCCATCTATGATAGACTGGACAGGGAAAATGTGGTATATATACACCACGGAATACTATGCAGCCATTAAAAAAACAATGAGTTTGTGTCCTTTGTAGAAACCATGGATGAACCTGGAAACCATCATTCTCAGCAAACTGACACAAGAACAGAAAATCAAACTCTACATGTTCTCACTCATAGGTGGGTGTTGAACAATAAGAACATATGGACACAGGGAGGGGAGCATCCTACACTGGGGTCTGTCAGGGGGAAATAGGGGAGGGACAGTGGGGGGTGGGAGTTGGGGAGAGACAGCATGGGGATAAAGGCCAGATATAGGTGATGGGGAGGAAGGCAGCAAATCACACTGCCATGTATGTACCTATGCAACAATCTTGCATGTTCTTCACATGTACCCCAAAGCTAAAATGCAATAAAATAAATAAATAAAAATAAAAAATAAATTCATACCTAAGCGCACTAGAGTAGCATTTCAGACAAAGAAAAAGATGGTAAAGGAGTTATGCCCACCCTCCAGCTTTGCCATGGAAATGTGTTAGGGAAAGCTAGGTAACTAGTGGGCCGCAGCTGGGCCCCCGGGGCAGGCCGGGGATGCCGCGGTGGGCCTGCAGGTCCTTGGGGCCCATGGGCTCTCGATGCTGCCCGCCCCTTCCGGCTCCTCCCCGTAGTGCAAAGGGCGCTTGAGCGAGGTGATCGGAGCAGTCGCAGCAAGGACCATGTTGCTTCCGAACATCCTGCTCACTGGTACACCAGGGGTTGGAAAAACCACACTAGGCAAAGAACTTGCATCAAAATCAGGACTGAAATACATTAATGTGGGTGATTTAGCTCGAGAAGTCTGATCATCGGATAGCATGGGGTCTGGCAAGATGGCTTCTCCCAAGAGCATGCTGAAAGATGCACAGATGACAAATCCTGAAAGATATGGGGATTACAGAATATGAGCCAAGAGTTATAAATCAGATGTTGGAGTTTGCCTTCCGATATGTGACCACAATTCTAGATGATGCAAAAATTTATTCAAGCCATGCTAAGAAAGCTACCGTTGATGCAGATGGTGTGCGATTGGCAATCCAGTGCCGTGCTGACCAGTCTTTTACCTTTACTCCCCCAAGAGATTTTTTATTAGATATCGCAAGGCAAAGAAATCAAACGCCTTTGCCATTAATCAAGCCATATTCAGGTCCTAGGTTGCCACCTGATAGGTATTGCTTAACAGCTCCAAACTATAGGCTGAAATCTTTAGAGAAAAAGGCATCAACTTCTGCAGGAAGAATAACAGTCCTGTGGTTAAGTGTTGGTTCGGTTACTAGCAGACCAAGTACTCCCACACTAGGCACACCAACCCCACAGACCATGTCTGTTTTAACTAAAGTGGGGACTCCCATGTCCCTCACAGGACAAAGGTTTACAGTGCAGATGCCTACATTGCAGTCTCCAGCCATAAAAGCTTCAATTCCTGCAACTTCAGCAGTTCAGAATGTTCTCATTAATCCATCATTAATTGGGTCCAAAAACATTCTTATTATCACTAATATGGTGTCATCACAAAATACTGCCAATGAATCATCAAATGCATTGAAAAGAAAACATGAAGATGATGATGATGATGATGATGACGACGACTATGATAATTTGTAATCTAGTCTTGCTGCATGTAACATGTGTATTTGGTCTTGAATTTATTGTACTGATATTAAACAAGCATGCTGGATGTTTTCAAGTTGTGTTTTAGAAAACTTTAATAATATTTAATGAGTAAATACAGTTACCATACTTTTCAATTTAAATGAAGGTTCAGCCTTAAAAGTGTAAGAAAAATAAAGTTGTCATTCATCAACTTGAAAAAAAAAGGATGGTAAAAATGAAATTCAATTAATTAAAAAATAAAAAATCATCTGCAAAGGAACAAGAACCAGATAAACATATAAGTAGCAATACTGAATGCAAAAGCACAATATCTTCAAAAGATTGAGAGAAATTACTTTCAACTTTACTGAGCCAATCAAGTATGAGTATAAAATAGTCATTCTCAGACATGCAATGATATATAAAATGTATCTTTTTCTTAAGAATTTAACAAAGATATGTTTTTACTAAATGAAGAAGTATATTAAGAAGGAAAATGGGAAAGGCTGGAGGCAGAGCAAGATGGTGGAATAGAAGCCTACACCATTCATTCCCTAACCCCTCCCTCAATAGGAAGACCGAATTTTAAAAACTATCTGCACAGTGATGGTGTTCTTCTGAAGAAATCTAAAACCTGAACAAGTCCCAGTAAAGAAAAGCCCAGGACCTAATGGCTTCATTGTTGAATACCAAACATTTAAAGAAGAACTAACGCCAATTATACTCAATTCTCCAAAAATAGAGGAAGAGAAACTTCTTCCAAACTCATTCTGTGAGGGTAGTATTACCTGATACCAAAACCAGAAAAACACACATCAAAAAAGGAAAACTACAGGCCAGTATCTCTTATGAATATTGATGCAGAAATCCTGAACAAAATACTAGCAAACTGAATTCAGCAATACATGAAAAAGATCATTCATCATGACCAAGTGGGATTTATCCCCGGGATGCAGGGATGGTTTAACATATGTAAATCAATCAAGGTGATACATCATATCAACAGAATGAAAGACAAATCCATATGATTATTTGAATTGAGGTGGAAAAAGCATTTGATAAAGTTAAACTCTCAAAAAAACTGGGTATAGAATAGAAAACAATGAGCACACCTACAAGATCAACATAATAAAAGCCATATATGACAGAACTATAGCAAGCATCATACTGAATGGGGAGAAACTAAAACCCTTTCCTGTAAGATCTGGAACACAACAAGGATGCCCACTTTCACCATTGTTATTCAACATAGTACTGGAAGTCCTAGCTTGAGCAATCACACAGAGAAAGATATAAAAGACATCCAAATTGAAAAGGAAGAAGTCAAATTATCCTTGTTTGCAGATGATATAATCTTGTATTTGGAAAAACCTAAAGACACTACTTTGGGAGGCCAAGGCGGGTGGATCACAAGGTCAAGAGATCGAGACCATCCTGGTCAACATGGTGAAACCCTTCTCTACTAAAAATACAAAAAATTAGCTGGGCATGGTGGCGTGTACCTGTAATCCCAGCTACTCAGGAGGCTGAGACAGGAGAATTGCCTGAACCCAGGAGGCGGAGGTTGTGGTGGGCCGAGATCGCGCCATTGCACTCCAGCCTGGGTAACAAGAGCAAAACTCCGTCTCATTTAAAAAAAAAAAAAAAAACTATTACAGCTAATAAGCAAATATAGTCAAGTTGCAGGATACAAAGTCAACATATAAAAATCAATAGCATTTCTATATGTCAACAGTGAACAATCTGAAAAAGAAATCAAAAAGGTAATCCCATTTACAAGTTCCACAAATAAAATTAGATAACTAGGAATTAACCAAAGAAGTGAAAGATCTCAACAATGAAAACAACAAAAGAATTTCTTTTGTTGTTTTTGAAAGAACAAAAATAATTTATCAGTGTTTTATAACACTGATGACAGAAATGGAAGAGGACACCAGAAATCGGAAAGATATTCCATGTTCATGAATTAGAAAAATCAAGTTAGAAAATATTAGAAAAATCAATACTGTTAAAATGTCCATACAATCCAAAGCAATCTACAGAGTCAATGCAATCCCTATCAAAATACTAATGACATTCTTCACAGAAACAGAAAAAACAGTCTTAAAATTCATATGGAATCACAAATGACCAGAATGGCCAAAGGTATCCTAAACAAAAAGAATAAAACTGGAGGAATCACACTTCAAATTATATGACAGAGCTACAGTAACCAGAACAGCATGTTACTGGCATAAAAACAAACACATAGCCCAATGGAATAGAATAAAGAACGTAGGGAGCTGCAGTGGCTCCAGCCAGTTGTCCTGGTGCTTGAGGAGGCAAGGCCATGAGTTCAAGACCAACCTGAGCAACATAACAAGCTCTCATTGATTAACAAAAAAACCCTAGAAATGAATCCACTAATACACAGTGAATTCACTTTCAACAAAGGTGCCAAGAACATACACTAGGGAAAAAGTCTTTTCAATAAACGGTACTGGGAAAACTAGATATCCATATGCAGAAGAATGAAATTAGATCCCTATCTCTCACCATATTTAAAAATTAAATCAAAATGGATTAAAGACTTATATCTAATACCTCAAACTATGAAACTACCATGAGAAAACACTGGGGGAACTCTCCAGGACACTGGTCTGGGCAAAAATTTCTTGAGTAATAATCCACATGCACAGGCAACCAATGCAAAAATGGGTAAATGGGATCACATCAAGTTAAAAAGCAAAGGAAACAATCAACAAAGTGAAGAGACAACCCACAGAATGGGAGGAAATGGTTTGCAAACTACTCATTTGACACGGGATTAATAACCAGAATATATAAGGAGCTCAAACAACTCTATAGGAAAAAATCTAATAAGCCGATTTAAAAATGGGTAAAAGATCTGAATAGATATTTCTCAAAAGAAGAAATGGAAAACACACATATGAGAAAGTGCTCAACATCACTGATCATTAGAGAAATGCAAATCCGAACTAAAGTGAGATATCAACTCCCATTGTTAAAATGGTTTTTATCCAAAAGTTTGGCAGTAACAAATGCTGGCAAGGATACAGAGAAAAAGAAACCCTTGTACACTGTTTGTGGGAATGTGAATTAGTACAACCACTATAAAGAACAGTTTGGAGGTCCCTCAAAAAACTAAAAACAGGGCTACCATATGATCCAGCAATCCTACTCTTAAGTATATACCCCTCAAAAAAGGAAATCAATATACCAAAGAGATATCTGCACTCCCATGGTTGTTGCAGACTGTTCACAATAGCCAAGATTTGGAAGCAACCTAGGTGTCCATCCACAGATGAATGGATATAGAAAATGTACTTATAAACAGTGGAGTACCATTCAACCATAAAAAACAATGAGATACTGTCATTTGCAACAACATGGATGGAACTGGAGGTCATTATGTAAAGTGAAATAAGCCAGGCACAGAAAGACAAACATCCCATGTTCTCGCTTATTTGTGGGATCTAAAAATCAAAACAATTTAACTCATGGAGACAGAGAGTAGAGGGATGGTTACCAGAGGGTGGGAAGGGTAGTAGGGGGATGAGGGGGAGGTAGAGATGATTAGTGGTTACAAAAAATACAATGAATAAGACCTGGTATTTGATGGTACAACAGGGTGACTATAGTCAATAATAATTAAATTTTCAAATAACTAAAAGAATATAATTGGATTGTTTGCAACACAAAGTATAAATGTTTGAGAGGATGGGTGCCCAATTTTCTATCGTGATTTTTACACATTGCATACCTATACCAAAATAGCTCATGTACTTCATAAATATATATACCTAGTACATACACACAAAATTTTTGTTTAATTTAAAAAAAAGAAAGAAAATAGAAAACAAACTGGATCCTGGAAACCATGGATCCAACTGGAAAGTAGAGGCACGAGTCTTAGGAAAAGAGTTATACAAGAGACCTATCGAGAAACTAATCTAGACTGGGTAAAATGTCAGAAGACACTTGGAGTGTCCTGCATCAAAGAAGGATATAGAAAACCTATATGACATGTTTTTTTCTAGTAAGGATATGATAAAGGCAAATAGCATAAAGAAAAAGAAAGGCAATTAGGAACCCTAGGAAAAACAAAAACCTAGGCAAGAAAGGAAATTTACTGATTTAACACATATTTATTGAAGGCCAATAAAATGTCACATACTCTTTTAAGGAATAGACATAGAAAACAAATTGAGATACTGTTTCTTCTCCTCACTGGTAACTCTGTGCTTCCTTTGTCTACATATACATCTTCATTAGTGTATTTATCATAAGGTAAAGCCACTGTTTGTATGACAAGCTCCCATTTCAGACTATGAATTCCTTGTAAGTCCTATCTGAGTCATTTTTGAATCCCTCTACATAATATACTAGGGTACATAATTTTCAGCAGTTAATAAAATTGTAGGGTTTTTTTTCCTAAAAGTGCATACACAGTCTGAAGAGTTAGAACAATGTGGTAATGAGTAAAATTAGATGTACTAAATACTACAATAAATGTGCACAGATGGCAGTAACTGTACAGAGGAGAGTATACCTAATGTCATCTAGAGGAAAGGCTTCACAGAAGAAAATGCCTGCGCTGTGTCTTAGTGCATAATAAGAGTTTGCCAGGCAGACAAAGTAGAGAAGAGGAATGGCCTGAGCAAAAGCACGCAGGTCTTGAATAACCCGGTACATCCAAGAAGAGCAAGTGGCCTGATATTGCCAGAATAGGACGGACCTATGGAGAATAGGTAGCATATGAGGCTAAAATGTACCAGGGAGAGGTTAGAGCATGTATGTGATCGTAAGGAATTTGACTTTTAGATTGTGAACTACTGAGACCCAATATGTAATTGTAAAAATGCATTGATTCTACATAATGTCCACTTGAAAATTTTGGCAAATATACTTGTAGATGCTATTTAGCCATAATGTATACACATACATCAAAAAGCCTTCCCTCCATCATTGCTTTGTAAAGAGAAATCAGGTATGATAGGATAACAAGTCTACCTAAATTATTAATTATAACTGCAGATAAATGCTACTTACTATAATTTTGAGTTATTCAAGTTTCATTAAATTTTACATCAAGAAACCAAGGTGTTTTGAATAATCATCAACAAAAATAAATAAATATGTAGACTTTTCATTAGCCCAATTTTAATACTGAAAATAGAAGGCACAGGTCAAATTAACAAATTTAAC